CTGTGGTGGTGGGGCTTACCTCCGTAATCTGCAATGGTGGGGCGCAGTCAACACAAGAATGAAATGGGACCATGTGGGGAGGACGGGCACAGGCAGCAACACACACAGATAACACATTCCACAATGGGAGTGAGAAAAAAAAAAGGGGGGTGTGGGGGGGGAAAAACTCGGAGTTAATACAAGTGCAAACCACGAGAATGTGACTACACAATACAGGAATTAAAAAAAAATAATAAAAAAACCCCGGACGTGACAAAAAAAACCAACTGTGCTACGGTAACACGGGGTGAAATGAAACACAACTAGGGGTGCTAAACCCTCAGGGGCAGCAAGTCTTCACCCCCTTTCTGGACTTCAGCACCTACAGTCTCTGCCCTTCCTTTCATATCTCTGCTCCTGCCATCATCGACCTTCTCCGGAGATGCCCAGACCCTGGAGACAACTCTCCCGTACAAAGGATGCGGTGGCCGTTTGCTGCACGCATAGCTTATCAGGAATGAAACTTATCTCTCCGAGCTCTTTAGAGAGGCTCTCAGGGGCGCTTTCAACCTTGGGCGGATGCCAAAACAGCCCCTTTGAACGAGCATCATCATTGAGGTTGTAAAAATTTATTACCCCATTTACCACGTCAAGATTCAAACCTCCTCGGCGGCTTTCGCGGCCAGCGCCGAGCAGCGGGAAACTACCCTGGAGGTGTCTGACCGCCTCACAAAGGGTTTTACAAGGGCAACCTTTGGAATAAAACCGCATTTCGAAGCGTGTGGCTTCCCCAGGGGACTGCGGTAAGAAAGACTCGGCTCCTCTGCCCCCCCCGGCGTACCTGGGCGGACTGCGAGACGGCTTCGTCGAGTGCGAGCGCCCGCTGACACACCTCCTCCTTGATTTTGGCATACATGGCCTCAGCCGTTGAGTATTTTTTCTGCACCATCTCCCCTTCCTCGGGGTTGAGGTCCTTGAGCTGCGGGCCGATTTTCAGCAGCTTGTCAATATGAGGCTTGTGTTCAGCAATGGATTCTCTCAGTTGCTAGGGAATAGAGGCAGGGGGAGGAAAGAAAAAAAAAACATTTGTTTAGAAATCTATTGAAAGCCGCTGCCTATTTATTTCACGCGACGCTCCGAGAGCAGCGATCGTATCTGGCAGTGAGCTCGCCCCGCCGATTTCTTGACCCAGCATCTGCCAAGCACATGGCACTGAGCTCTTCCTAACACGGCCACGGCTCCGCGCGCACCGGCATGGGACCTTCCCTGGCACCGCCGGCTCCTCACCCTCCTCACAGGGAGAGAAAAGCCACTTTGCAGCCCTCTACCCTAAAAGCACAAAGCGGTTATCCCTGCCACAATCAAGCAGGAAATCTGAATGCAGCCAGGCTCCCTTGGGCGCAATCTCCGTTATAATGCTCCAACGTAACGAGCAATTTTCACGTGGTTCGTGGCACGCTTGTACTACATAGGTAGGATCCCCAAAAAGAAGAGAACGCGGGAAAAAAATCAGAAAAATAATAAAAAAAAAAAAGCCATTCTCATCCCCACAAGCGCTGCGCCTCCACTTAAGGTAGAAGAACTGATGGTGCAGGAGGTACAAACGCCACAGGAGATGCAAACGCCGCGTCTTCTTACCCTCATGTCCTCCTGCTGCTGCTTGAGCTGCTCGTGATCGATGGCGGGAGGCGGCAGCTGGGAGATGAGGGCTTGAGTCTCCTCGATCCACGGGTTCAGCTCCTCATAGGTCTCCCAGAACTGGTTGACCAGGACCTGGGCGCGCTCCAAGCGAGCGTAACGCTCCGAGTTGAGCTGGCTGACGGCTTCGTACTGCTGCACCAGGGACTCGGTTTTCTCCTTAAGAAAATTAAATAAATAGAGGGAGGAGAATTACACCGAGGGATGCAAAAGGGCGCGGGGAAAGAGGCAGCTGCACGCTGCGAGCTGGAAGAGCAGGAGGTGCCTTTGGTGGCCTTCCATGTGCACAAGCTGTAATTCCAATTAAAGCAGCCTCTGAAACATCCGCTGTTCCCCCGCTCCATCCCCAAACACTGCAATAAAAATATGCAATAAAAGAGAGTAATAAATGTAAAGAGATTTCTGCTACCGCTGGTGGGAATTACTAAAGATGGGGTAATTTTCAACTACTTCAGCCTGTGCAAGCTCTTGCTGAGCGTTCGCCTCCCTCCCTGTTTCCCCCGACTGGCAGCGGGAGGCTCACCTGGAGAACAGCTTTTTGTTCCTCCCCGCACGTCCCGAAGATCTCGTTGCGCTGGCTGAACAGTTCATCCATGGAGTCTTTGTGCCGAATAATGTCGATGGAAAAAGCCTGCAGAAAAGGGAATGTCCAAAGAAAGGAAAAAAATCAGAGCCGAGCCCAACCTCCCCCTTCCAGCCCATCCGCGGGACCCTCCCGCTGCAGAGACCCCGCAAAACTCAGCACAAGCATCCTGTGGCGCTGAAAACCTGGCTGAAAACGCAGATTGCCGCATGCTTTTCTCGTGACTCATAGACATCAACCTCTCTCTTTCAAAGCCCTGAAAAACTCTCTCTTAAAATGAGGTACCAGTCCACTTCCACATCCAGAGTCCTCAGCAGTGGAAAAGCTCCACCGTCCATCCATTAGGGAACATGTTCACCCCCCAAATGATGCTCTCCAGAACTGCATCTACCAATAATTTTGCCATTCCCAAGGTCCACGCGATTAACAGCAGGAAGCCAAGCCTGAGCTGAGCTCAATTTAACTTAAATCTCAATGGTTCAGTCCCCCTCCTTTATAACAATGTCTTATTTTTCTTTTTTTTTTTTCAAAAAAATCCAATAAGCCTTTACACTGCTCTGATTGCCGAGGCTGGTAAGTGAAGAAAAGGGCCGTTTATTTAAAATACACGTTCTTTCAGGCATGAGCTCATCTCAAAGATATAAAGAAAAAAAACCCCAGCGCCTCTTTGTTCCGCGTCTGGCTGCCGGGAGGGAAATGAGGAGTCCCCCACTGCAAGGAACAATGAGCAAAAAGCAAATGTAAAAGCACCCTCATTAATCAATATATACATTTCTCTATACCCTTCCTCCTGCCAGCACCTGCAAGACCCGGGAAGGAAAACTCCAGGGAAGGAGCCGCTCCCTCGATCGGAGTCCAGGCACAAGCACCCACCCCGTCCTCAGCGGCTGTGCAAAGATTTTGGCTCCTGCAAATGGGCAGGAAGCTTTTTCCTTTAGAAACCAAACACCTCATTTCCCTAAATCCTCTTTCTCCTTTGTTTTCTCCTTGAACTTACCAAGAACAAGCGCTGCATCTCTCTGCACTACCAAAGCCCAGGAACCACACGAGGGTGAAGCTGCGTGTGCGTGTCCCCCAAAGCCCAGCCCATCGCCCAAACCCCCTCGTACCTTCTGGACTTGCAGCTGAGCCCTCGTCTGGTCTTGCTC